ATGTTTTATAGTATCACAGTTCCACATTACTCCTAATGCAGTTTTCCCGAATATTGGAATCATATCTGGTGTTTTTCTGAAGCCATCATTTCAAATAGAACACATTACTGATTGGTTAAATAATTAGATTGTCATACTAATAGAACTACTACTTCAGTTTTGCTATTTTTTATTTTACGCTATCACAAAATCAGATTAGATAAACCATTTTGATTACGAACTAGCGTACGTAATACATAGTTGAACAATAGGCCATAGAGAGGTTAAACTCAAGAACTTCACTATTGGAATTACGAAAACTAGATTATAAATTTAATGTCAACAATAATTAGGATTAAAAATATATCTGATGTCTTATTATATATCAAATAACAGTTAGTCACACGAATGAGAATCAAAACGCATTGTGTCATCATTAATGCAATAACACAACTAGCTTTACTTTTCAAGTAAATATCACATCGGAAACTATAGTATTGATGAATAGTAAGAAACTGAATTCGCTGCACAACATTATATTGTAAAAGCAGATATTATTTACTTAGCCATTCATGCTTTCAACAACAAATAGGTCAGAAATTCAATGTAACAGCATATATGCAAACTGTCAGAATCAATCAAAAATAATTTAATTACATAGAAACTTTGCCAAGTGAAGGTTATAAAACGGTTACATAATACCAGTTAAATTGTTCATTTAAGTTTGTTAGAAGTAAATAAATTGTAAAGTTGACAATGGATATAAAACATGGATCCTTGTCTAGTTTTATTCTCTTACGATCGTATGAAATTTCATTTCACAAATTAACTGAAATGGAATATTTCAACGTATGTTAAATGAATTTACTAAAACAAAAAAGAATCTGTTTGATATTAATTAATTTGAAATTTTATTTTCAAAGTGTGAAATAAATCACCATTAAATTAAAAGAACTAAAGTGGAAATAATATTACCCTCTCAAGATGTTATCTATGGTTGTGTGCCATTGAATACATAAATTGATTTTATAAGTGTATTTCAAGTGTACATGTAATGTTTACCTCTCACAATGAATGACTTTCATCTAATCTCCTTAAACTTAGTAGAAAACACATAATTAATATCAAATCCTAGCAATTAGCCTTAGTAGTTACCTGACTTATAACTTCTATCACTCTACAGGTATGTTTATCCTTGATAATAATTAAACCTTATTAAATAATCCAGTCAACTTTTCCGGAGATCCTTACCGACCTTATTGGCTGGGATGGCGTACCGGTAAATTGTGCAACAAATAACACAAAGAATAAAACCATTTCATACATATACTTTTACATAGATACGCATATATGAATTCTTTTTGTTGCGTTATATAAAAAATATACAGGTGTATACATAGAACAATGCTAAACAGTGTTTTATTTATTTCTGTACAACACATAAACTGGGTTATTTGATCTTTTCAGTCATTCGGTTAATATCCTTCTGATTGACTGTTTTAGAATGAAATACGTCTTATTAAAAAATATTTGTGCATGTTTTTTTACTTTTTTTATTGCATACTATATGAGATGCTAAACAATCTCTTCATTTCATTTCTAACTAAACAGAAATTGTTTTATATTCACGCACTGGTTATCAACTATCTCAACCATATAGTGTTATATGGACACCTAAATGATTTGTCCCAAATAAGATGAAATATATTTCTGATATTTTATTGATAGTATTGATACACATTATATGCATCATTACTGTTTAATGTAAACCAAGCTTAGAAAAATATATGATATGTATTTTTAACTTATCCTTAATCTCAATAGTTGAAATCATGAGCCAATTGAAGCTAGACCACCACGAAAAACCTGGAAGTACTGGACGGCCGTTTCGTTCTAGTATAGAACTTCTCAGCAGTGCGCAGCCACGATAAAATGGCGTCCAGTGCCTTCAGGTTTTTCGTGGTGGTCTAGCTTCAATTGGCTCATGATTTCAACTATTGAAATTACTACAATCTCCACAAAAACCCCTCTGATAATTATCCTTAATCGTCATTTAGGTTCTCGACTTTAATATAGTTTACTTCTAGAAGATTGATAGTCAAAACACAAATAAAACAAGACAAAATACGTTTCCGATTGCACATTTTCACTTGGTTTTCGTTACAACAATAGTTAGGGCAAATATGTTCTAATGACTTTTATGATATTGAGATTTATTCCATTTCATGTTAAATATGTGAATATAGAAATTACCCTTCATTATTATATTTTCTATATGCCGCCGGCCTATCAAAAAGCATATAGTTAAATATTTTACTTAGATTAATGTAAACGTGTTATTCTGAATCGAATTTATACAGTTGTCAATTTTCGTTGAACAGTTGTTATGCATTACAGAAAGTGAGTCTTTATAAAGTCCTTCAGACAGTTATACTAACATAAAAGTATTAGGTATGTTACAAGAGTATTTTGTTTTAACTGAAATGATATTTTGCGACAGGGGAATTTTAGTGGTATATGTATCTGATTAGGCTTTAGTTTTCGTAATAGATATATATAGTAAAATAATGGTCATTAAGATATACAACCAATTATTTATGAAACCATATGTAAAAAGAAAACCCTAATTCTATCTATATAGATGAAAATACCATCCACTTAAGCATAATAAATATTAATTAACTGTTAAACAAAATACTATAGATGACACTGACTTGTGTCCATTGCTCAGAAGTGTAAGATTTCTTCATCGGAGTAATCAATGAAGCATGTGGTCAACATATTAAAAGGTGTACTATGGTATTCAATTTCATGAAATACCTATCAACACACACACACATTTACTTTGGTTGACAAGTTTCTCATCAAAAAGTTAAGTAACATGTCTTTATTTTTTGTATAAGTGACTTAGAACTGTATTATAAAAATATTTGTTACAGTGCCTTAAATAGAAATCGTAGATGAATAATTTCTAACAGAACAGATAAGACGGGAATTTCGAACGTTTTTTTGTTCTGGTTACAAAATAAACTATCCATATAATACAATCTAGGAAAGAATAAAAACTTAACATTAGTGAATCATAAGTTTAACAGTCTACATTTTTTTTGTAATTGACGAAGAACAAAATAATTGAACTGTTTGAATATGAATCAATTCCTAACATAATGCTATCAGTTCACCAAAAGATTCAACTTAATATTCATTTGATAGAATATATTTCATATCTTACATAGGCTACAATTCAACTGTATTACCATAATTCATAAATGATCATCGTTTTCGTTGTGTTACTGTATAACACAAAACTGTGATAGATTCACAGCACATCATATTTATATCAAACTTATTTAAGCAGCAGTAACGATTAAAATAATGTTCATGTCAGTGCAAATACGATGTAAGAAAAGCTGTTTATAAACAGTAATAAGTTACAGAGTGATCTAACGGATAAATTACACTTAGAGAACATGTATAAAGTGTAAATAAAGATATTGACTCAAAATTTGACATCATAACGAATAGATTAAAATTTAAAATTTGATAGTCATCAACAAACTGGAAGGTACTAGATTGCCGCTGTTAAATAGACCTAGACTAAAGTAAAATATTTGTGCAATATTCAGTGGCTTCGAATTGTTTATCAGCCGACGTTTTCATGAAGCAAAATAGACTTCATATTATAAATATACGTTAGTACATTACAACCATATGATAATATAAATGCTTTTAGCAACACAAGAATATTGGATATTGTTAAATGTAAAGTAGTGATTTAATAAACGGTTTACTGTAAACCATATAGATAAATGGTCTCCTTAGCATGAATAAAAAGTGTAACTCAGTCTATGTAACATGAACGTCATTACGTTACAAAGTGTATACCAGTGATATCTCTAAACATAACGTAGAAGCATCATCAACATCAAGTAAGCTCACTAACTATGTTTATTAATTGTCTTCAACTTGCGTTTTCTGAATTTGCTTTTATGCTACTTTAAGAATTTCATTTAACACATAACCTAATACAAGATAATATTGCATGTTAACAAGTTTATTTTAATACGACTTTCATAATCTTGACAAAACACTTATTACACTGAACGTGATAATCATATTTCTATCATAATTATGAACTTACAACTGTAGATTATGATAAAAAGTTTACTAGATACAATAGTATATGTCCATGCATATGTTTAAAGCAATCGGTAATAATAAACATAATAGAAATGGTGATAAATATTTAGTTAAAACATAATTTCACTTTATTAAAATAGATACCTTCATAAATTGTACTTCAATAATTTATAAACTCATTTCTACTAATAAGTATCCCTGATAAGTGAAGTAGACTAATTATGTATACAAGAATAACTGGTTATCACTAAACATTCAAAATGAATAACTGAGAAACGTCCGTTTGGTAACCATATTGAGTTTTTAGTCTTTCTTCAGCTAATCTAAGTTAGTAATAAAGATCGACCTCAAGTAATTTTAATTTAAAAGAATATTACCCATAATTCAATAAAAAAAAGAGTTTGACAATAATTAGACACTGAATATGTATAAGACATTAAAATGAAAATTTCGACTTTGAATAATCTCGTCAATTAAATTTTAGACAATTCCAATAATCCATGGTATGAATTTAAAGTTTAGTACAATCAATATCATTAGTCTGTTTTCATTTCGATTATATTTTTCTAAGAAATCTTCAGATGAAATTACCGAACGAAAGACTGGAATCATTTAGATTCAAATCAATCACACTGTTTAAATACAATTTCTATGTTTAATGTAAAGTAACTGAAGTTTTACTAAACTCAATTATCGCTTTGGAGCACATTCGGATTTAGAACTATCAAACTATATATATATATATATATATATATATATATATATATATATATATATATATATATATATATATATATATATATAGTTTAACTTTGAAGTACTTATATCCTTAATAAATAATAAACATTTTGCATAGTTTTTGATAAATAAATAAAACTCACCTGTATCATAAAAAATGGAAGCCAACAAAGACAAAAACATCCCATTATAACTCCAAGCGTTTTAATTACTTTAGTGTCGGAATTCCCACGAGATCTTCTTCCATGAGCTTCTCTGGACAATTCATTGGTTAAATTCATAGAATCAGTCAATAGTTTTCTTGATGAGTAAGAGTTTAATCGTTTATCATTTTCTATTGCTTCGCAAATGTCATTTGTACCTCCATCTTTTTTCACACCATTATTAATTGCATTAGTTACTATGTGCTCATCATCTGACTGTACATATTCAACCATATTTGTACTTGTAATTTGTAATTCCTGTATATTCTTATCTAATATCGGTTCTGAATGTGAATTATTTGATATAGTTTCTGGCACTTCAGTTGACTTACATGATGTGCCTGGTGTCATTTTTGACTGACCACTGCGTGACATTTCTCTAGCCAATTTGAATATCCTACCATACAGAATAATCATCACTATAAGTGGTAGATAAAATGCAAAAAATGTTGCATACACCTGATAACCAACATTTTTACTATACTCGCAGGCACATTTTTGAAATGGCTCTTTCCAGCCAAAATTTGGTGGTATACTTATCAATGCTGAACCTATCCATGCAGTAGCTATCATAGCAGCCATACGTTGTGGTGTTCGTCTACTTGCATATGTCAGTGGTTTTGTGATAACTAAATACCGATCAATCGAAATTGCACAAAGATTTAATATTGATGCAGTACACAATAGTACATCAAAAGATATATACATATCGCATAAACCTTCATTAAACGGCCAATAACCTTGATATGCATCAATTATTGTAAACGGTAAAACTAACAAAGCTACAAAAAAATCGCTGAATGCTAAACTTCCAATAAGAATATTACTTGGTGTTTGAAGTTTTTTCACAAGTATCACGGCTAAAATGACTAGAAAATTTCCTCCAGCTGTAGCTATTGCAACAATTAATGATAAAATAAAAATTATCCCTGTTATCAATGCAGAATCATTTTCACTAATACATTCTGAGGTATTCAACTTGTTAATTGATAATGTTGATTTAATACTAGAATTATTCTGTTGTGAAATAGTCATGTTTGTATTATTAATGATCCAATATGATATATTCAATGAATTCACATTTGTAAATAAACCATTATATGAAATAAATAAATGAATAAGTAATAATTTAAATCGATGTTCATGTTTAGTTAGAATATACCACATTTTTCTCTAGAAAAAATAAAGATAAATAAACCTATGTTCAATGTTCTATGTTTATTTTGTTTATATACTTTAAATGAAATTCATTATTGGTGATAATTTCAAAAATGGGAACATTTAAAATTTGATTCAATTTCTTTATTTTAAAAAAAGAATGATAATTGATTTATTCGACATTCTTGTAATATGAAACCATTGAATAATAGAAACAATATTGATATATTCCATTTATATGTTTATCATAATATTTAATTTAATGAGAATACATTTTAAGTAATAAAATTGTTAAACAAACCTTCCATATTATCTATTAGATGAATTTGAATTGAAATCCTTAATATTCTAGAAAAATTATTGATCCCTAGCAACATTTAGAAAAAAACAAACAATATGTCATTAGATATTTTTCCCATTGAATTGAATTTAATTAATTGATTTATACTATTCAACGGGTTTGATGAATGATGCCTCATATATAATAAAATTAAAGTCATTAAATTAATAGGCGGATATACAGTTGAATAAATTATTGTTATAAACAAATTCAATTCTAATTCCAGGAATATAGAACCAACCATACCTTCAACTCCGATCTAGTAATATGTGTACAGACATAAAAAATACAGACAGACCTATTTATAAACAGACAGTTTAAAAATACCTGTCATAGTAGAAATGTATATAGATATATATTTTTTTCTTTTTAAATACGTTGTCACATAGTGCCAAGAGTTATGTGTATTTGCATATCCATGTGTGTGTGCGTACGTGCGTGTGTGTAATTATAAGCAATGAAAACCTAGTAAATGTCTAATGATGGGGATAAAATAAAAAGTAATTATGATTTTAGTAAGCAGATCATTAAAACTTTCGTGTGACAAGTCACTGAAAATTCTTAACTGACATTGTATTCATCTATATTGAAATATTTTGCATTTTAGAGAGTGAAAATTTTTTTCTCAAATTCATTTGGCGGGATTTTTTGAATCTTGATGTTGATATCAAGGTCTACAAATGATCAGTTTAATTTAGTATATGTACATCATATGCCGATCGCTCAAAAACTACCATGAAATCATAAGAATTTTAAGTAGAGTTTGATAAAAGCTAGTTCGAGTATACAGAATATGTGTTTTGTAGTGTTTTACACAAGTCATCTGGATATTTTTGCATCAAAGTTTTGGTATTCACAGCAAAGATCAGTTGAATTTATAGAGGATTTTTATTAATGTTATTTCTTATAGTATCTTATCATGGTAAGGAGCCAAATTATTGTACATCTAATCAAATGAAAGAAAAATGCTTATTTAGTGCACCAAAATTATCGTAACAATTCAGAAGATTTGAAAGGTTCAGAAAAAGATGATAATGATTATTCATATTGAATTTACCATTCCCTTAAACTACCTAAGTGGTTGAGTCAGTCATTTGACCTATAAGTACAGTCAAGTTTTCGAACTTTAGAATTTAAATGTGGATACCATTGTGAATTTTAGATATATATTTGTAGATAATTGAATAACTATTAAATGGACTTTCTTTCTGTATCACTTTCATAACCAGTAAATACATTTAAGACTTAAGACTTGATATGTTTATGTTGAAAGCGGTTATAACTGTACCGAATTCTAAACAATCTAAAACTAATAACATTTGAGATACAAACTTACGATTATTTGGAAGCATTTAGATATTTTAATCCATTTTCTATAAATTATCAACATTTATTAAAAGGAAACCTCTAGTGTAGTGGTAAAGAAGTTAAGATGAAAAGGTCTAAAATGAATTGCACCATGAAATGTTTAAACACAGGAGGCTTATGTATTTATTAAGATTTTTAATAGAAATAATAGTATGATGGGAAATGTATGAAAAACTATTGTCTACTTAACAGATATGAAAACGTTGAGTGAGGAATTATTAACACAAATAGGATGAAAATTCAATAATTGAAAGATTGAAATATTGGAACGATGTATTCACAACTAGTCTGTCAGAAATGAACAACATAAAATATTTACGTCCATAGTACAATTTGGTCTGTCATATGTTTTCTAATAAAGAGTTCATGTTCAGGCCACTTAATTGCTAACGCCACTATAGTGCACGAGTTTTTGATTCGTGCTTCGTTCAGGAACCCTCTTTCAACCATATAGATTATTTTGAAGGATATTTTCAGTGGAGGAGTGATAGCACAAATGAAGACGTATTTTGATATTGAGCTGTTGATTATTTAACACTCTAATTTTGAAAGACATCCAGGAATGTATCTAGAAAGCCATCTTTATGAGTAAGTGATTAACATTTTGGAGTACTATGAAATATATGTCATATGCAAGACGATTATATCACGTGTTCAATGAAATTACCCTGTTTTATTATGAACTTGGTGTTGACTTTATCACTCATATTATTTTAGACAGATTTTTTATTTACTATAAGGTGATCATCGATTATCAGGAAAAAAGATAAATCAGTAGTGTATATATTGTGAAATGGGTAGAGACCAGAATAGTAAAATTACTCCAAACATTACACACAGACAAACAGCAACATGTATTTTTGTGGAATTGACTTGAGTGTTTGACTTTTTTGTAATGAATTAAATAGGTGTTATATAATTGTTAAGAGAAGATAGGTTCAGATTAAATAGGAAATTTACAATCATTCAATGGTTATGAACGTCATAATATTTCTAAGGAAGTAATTATTTGCCATCCTCTTGTATGCTATGTAAGACACATAAGTTGCGTAACAGAGATAAATATAGACATCTTCCATTTGCTTCACATACATATATAAAAATCACAAACAGATTTTAATATAGATAAATGGCTAATTAGGCTATGTTTAGTATTTTTTCCACAACAATCAGCCTTTCCTCCAAGATATTGATATATTAACACTTTAGTGCAATCCTTGATCATAGAATCAAATTGAACTTCTCGGTATTTGCTGAATTATTGACAACAAATTTCTCAACAAATTATCAAACAGGTATCTACCGCAGTACAATGGAAGAAGGTCACGCAATTTCGTGGATTGGTTGAGGTTCAACATTAACACCGTTGGATGCTGACTCAGTGATCTAGAAGTTAAGCTTTGACGCTCGAGACTTAACGCCCTGGGTTGAAATCCTGTGAGCGGAATCTTAGGTGCGCACTGCTGAAGAGTCCCACAATAGTACGAAACGTCCGTCCAATGTTTCCAGGTTTTCATTGGTAGTCTAGCATCAATCGGTTCATGATCTCGATCAAAAAATAATTTATATGAGTTTTTAGGTATTAATATCAAAATTGAACTTGATACTTTGAAATAAATTGAGCATTGTGTGGAAAGTTAATGATAAATTTATTTTTTCATATCCCAATGACTAGAAAAATTGTATTTCTGACGTTTCGTGACTTAATGTGAGTATACAAATAACCGAATTCAGTTACTTGTCTACTCTGAAGAAGTGGTACATATATTGTTTTTTTCCTTACTTAAATAGCATATATATTCTTGTACAATAAAAATCTGGAGAAGTGAAAAAACGTTTTGATCTGTGAATTATTTCCATTCGATCCAAAGTTTCGAAATTATGTTTAATATTTTTTTATATTGAATTATATCTTTTATCAGTAATCTCTTTTGCTACCATTCTAAGTGTCAATACTTTTTCTATCCTGTAATGATTTACTGTATCAACTTAGACGTACACAATGTTGCTAGGATAGTCCTACATTACATATGACTGGATAATGTAGTAAATTATATTCTACATAAATATTTCTAAAATAACATTATTTTTCTTGATAAGCTATGTATAGCTTTGTATATATGTTCATTAACGAGGATTATGAAACTATTTTATAATATTCTTCACTGTCTACTAGATGTTTCACTATACTAGTTAGCTACCTTATTATTTATAACAAATGAAAACAAGAATAAAAAGATCTAATTTCCACGTTTTGACAGTAACTATTGTAACCGGAAAACTGAAATTTTGTTTAATTTCCTGTTTTTATTATTAGCAAAATTTAAAATAATATTTTTTTTCTGCAATTCACTAAGTAGACCTAAGTAAAATGTGTTATGATGTTTATTTGTCTACCTTGATTATAAACAGATTAATTAGTTAATGATGAGATGAACTATGGAAATAAAGAAACAGGAAATAGAATAGATGGGAAGTTAAGATCAGTAATTTACATTCTAAATAATGATGGAATACTTTTCTGAAAAAAAGTATAAACATTTTATTTTTATGGGAAACGCAATATACAATCATTAGAATATTTTGTTTGGACTTCAGTCAAATGATTCATCGACACAAATGAATAACATTCGAGAATACTACTAAAATATATACATTCATATCTCAATTTCATTGTCATAACTATGATGGCTTTCGATTGTTTGTATGCTGGAAAAAAACTTTAAACCGGAGATCATTTGTAAAAATACGTGATAGAAAATTCAATATAGTTTGATTTTAACTGACGTATGTTACTAGTGAAAGAAACCAACCAAGTTAGTAACAAAATTATAGCTCAGCTCAGCAATAGAAGTTTCCTTTCCGATAATATCATTTACTAAAGCTGTGGAATTATATTTTGGATTTATTATGGTTAATCAAAAATACTTTCAAGTACTAAAAAAATGAACCAACAGCTCAAAATGTAAATAGATTTAAAATGTAAAATAACAATAGGAAGTTGTGTCTATAGAGTTGTGTTACGTCATAACTTATTAAGAAATATCATATATATACAAATAAGGGTATATAATTATATAATAGCTAATAAAAAATTGTTAGGATAAAGATATTTTATAAGAGACAGATAAATAACCGGAATAATTCATTGTTGTAATAATAGCTAGTTAATGGTGCATGATACGAAAAATAGTCTTCAGTTGTGGAACTTGTATTACCGGTTAAAATAACATTGTCTATGTTTATTTCTAAAAGAAAATATAAACGACTTTTTCTCCCAAAAAACCAGATAAATGTAATGCCATTATACGGGTTCAGCCGCATTTATACTTAGAATTAATTTTGTTTTGAATTTCTATTGAATTTCCTTTGTTCTGTGTAGTACAATCGATGAGGAAACAGCTACTTAGTGATGCTTTAAATAATAGCAGTCTTTCATGAATCTAATCTTTAATCGACTCAGCTATCCACAAAGAAATAGAAATACCTGTAATTTCATTCCTTACGTCATCATTTTTGTTTCCTGTATTTTCGTTGATGGCTTAAATTTGTAATGAGATTCAGTCACAAGCCAATATTAATTGGATATTCTCTGAAGAATAGTTGATTTAATATATTTTTTCTTCCTGTATGTAACTCATAAGTAATACATAGTTATAACCCCGTAGGTGACCGAAATAAAATCTTCAGATCTTCAACTAACAAAGTACGAATTGAAATCTGTCTGGCATTCGTATTTTCAACATTCCTATAATTGAAATCAATCCTTGACATAACAGCAAATGACTATGATTAGTACGCTTCAATTCAATAAATTTCCGATTAGTAAAATAAATCACTGTGATTAATGTTGACTAGAAAAAA